TATACTCTAAAAATTATTATCTTGTTATATCATTATCTCTGTAATTAAGATACTTTTTATTTATTAATTTATTAAAAATATTTTAATCCTTTTATTATTGATGCTTATATTTTAATTATCAATACCTTCCTCAATGTCATCTTGGAAAACCAAAAAATCAAGAAAAAAAAAAAAAGTTTAAAAGCCCAAGTGGAAACCAAACGCGGTGTTAGTTCTTACACCGTTCCCTCTTTTGACATCATCTCCTACAGTCCCACTTCGTTAACTTCCACTTCCCAGAATCAAAAACCCCCCACACTATTCCCTTTCTTTTCGTTCGATCTCATTCTCATCTAACGCCTTTTTCTCTGAGAGTACCATCTTCCTTTGCTTCTGCACTGCACTCCTCAAAGGTGAAGAAAAGTGCTGAACGCAGGCACAACCCTAACACTCAATTCTCTGAAAAGAAAGTTTGAACTTTTATTTCTCAGAATTTCAGGGGTTACCCACGAAAACCCGGATGTAAAAGCTTCATCTTTGAGCTTAAAAGCTATGACCCACTGAATTTTTTCGTTGCTGAGGAGATATGTCGAGTTCTGACCCGAAAAGCCGACCCAAACCCGGTCCCGGTCCATGGCCACCGGCGCCTGAAGCTGCTCCATTGCCGCCGTCTTCCTGGGCCAAGCGTACAGGCTTCCGCCCCAAGTTCTCTGGGGAGACCAATGTCAGTGACTCTGGTCAAATGTCCTTGCCGCCGAGGCCTAGAGAGCCGGATAACCAGCCGGATCTTGAGGCGGGTAGGGCGCGGCCTTTGCCGGTGGCTAATGGGGAGCCAGAGGGGCAGAAGGTTGTGGCGGATAAGGATCAGAAAGTTAAGAGGAGGAGGGATTCTGACGGTCTACCCAAAGGGCCCAGTCCGGGGCAGAACGGTACGGCAAATTCTAATGGACACGCAGGAGCTAACGGGGCAACCGAAGCGGCACCACGGAGGGTGACGAGGAATGAAGAGATAGTGGATGTCTTGCCACAGAGCACGGATGATGATGGGTTTGTGGGTAGTAGGCCCTCGCATATGATGTATGAGCTCAGAGATACGCCTGGTCTTGGTTAGTTTCCTCTCCTTATTGATTAATTTTAGTGGTTTCAGGTTAGTTTGAGTCCAAAGAGGGAAATTTTTTTGTTGCGTTTATTTTGATTTTCTAATTAGTGTTTGGCTTGTGTTAATAAGCTAGTGTGAATGTGAAAGGTTTCAGATTTTCCATGAGTTTTAAAAGAATGTGGGTTTTGTTCATTTCTGAAGAGTAAATATTAGTTGTGTTTTAACGGGTTTCAATTCTGTTTCAGTCCCCATTGGTTTATATGGATTCCAGCATTATCTTTCCATATTGGGTTCATTGATTCTTTTTCCACTCGTCATAGTACCTGCTATGGGTGGCAACTCTGTGAGTAGTTAAATGCTGTTTTCTTTAATTTTGAAACATTTACGAAGATGTACTAGGAATTGCTTGGGCTGATTGGAATTAGTGGGTGTACAATGTAGGAAGATACTTCAAACGTTGTTTCAACTGTGCTCTTTGCGTCGGGAGTGACTACGCTTTTGCATACAACTTTTGGCTCGAGGTTGCCTCTAATACAAGGTCCATCATTTGTTTTCCTAGCTCCAGCATTGGCTATGATTAACTCTCCAGAGTTTCGAGGACTGAATGGAAATGTATGCCTCTGATCTCCATTTTATCTTTATAGTTATTTTAAGCAAGTTAATCCTTGTCTTCTCTCATTCCTTCACCAGTAATTCCTTCAGATTTATTGGAATATACTTGACTAGTACAATTTTATTGTTTTATGCCTTATGTATCTATAAAATAGCACAAATCATATACACTTCCATTATCAGATGTATTGATTTATAAATTAATTGAAATTGACTTTTTGGATAAGTTTTGTGGTTATGGATTCAAGAAGTTTAGGATCAACTGAGGTTTATAAAAAGTTGCAGCTATGCCTTAGGGAGGTAGTTTGCTGAAAACTTTGGGGCAGTGTCAGAGTATCTTGATTAATTATTTGAATTGTTTAATCATCAGAACTGTATAGTGAAATGTTTGAAGGGTCAGGGTCTTGATGTTGAGAGAAAAGTGTTGAAGTTGTCTGCAACAGAGTAGAAAAAGTAAAATCCAAGGATGCGTTACTTTATCCATTCTTTGCATGAATACTGTTTTCACTTTGCTGGACACCCATCACTTAAATCATTTCAACAATTAACTGGCAGAATTTCAAGCATATTATGAAGGAGTTACAGGGAGCTATTATCGTAGCTTCAGTATTTCAAGCATTTCTAGGGTATAGTGGAATGATGTCACTATTTTTGAGGTATGTTTCACAAGCAATCTTTAAGTTCCCAATTCCCCAATCGTTTTATGCTTTTCTACTTTTAGGAACAGCCGTAAAATCCATTCCTTATGTGCTGCAGCATGTTTTATGCTAGCATTTTTGCCTTTCCTTTTCAGGTTGATCAATCCAGTGGTTGTGGCACCTACCATTGCTGCTGTTGGACTTTCTTTTTATAGCTATGGTTTTCCACTGGTTGGTACCTGTATCGAGATTGGTGCTGTGCAGATATTGCTGGTTATCATTTTTTCTCTTGTAAGTTGTTGAATCTGTTTCTTGCTCTGCAAGTTGTAATTATTTATTCTGTGCAATTTCTTGAAGACCATTTTGATCTCTGCTTTCTGCAACTAAACACATGATATGAAACCTTCTTCCTTTTTTTCTTTTCTTTTTTTTTTCTGTATGTGCAGTACCTTCGTAAGGTATCCATTCTTGGTCATCGCATTTTTCTCATCTATGCGGTATGTTTATGTTACAAATTCCTAAGCAAATTTAATTCAGTATGCTGTTTATAGTTTTCTAGTGCATTTTTTTGTGATGTCATATTATTCTGTCCTTCTTATGTTGTTGTTTTCTTTATTAACTGGCAGGTTCCTTTGAGTCTTGTGATTACCTGGGCAGTTGCGTTCCTCATCACTGAAACAGGAGCCTATAGCTACAAAGGTTGTGATCCTAATGTACCTACCTCAAATATAATATCCGAGCATTGCAGAAAACATATTTCCAGGATGAAGAACTGTCGAGTTGATATGTCTCATGCATTGAAATCCTCCCCCTGGTTTAGGTTTCCTTATCCTTTACAATGGGGAACTCCTGTTTTCCAATGGAAAATGGCCCTAATTATGTGTGTGGTTTCCATAATTGCATCAGTAGATTCGGTTAGTTTTCTATCATTTACAATTGACTCCTCTCTTCAAGATATAAATCATGGTTGCAATTTGAACTCTTGTAGATTCCCATATTCTTCTTTGGTTGCATCTTCAGTGGTGATGTGCGGTTTCCCTAATGATCTATTATTTGTTATTATGTGTGGAAGGGTCCTAAATTCTCCATATGGTGAGAACATTGATTTACCATGGTGTGAAAAAGGATTTCATTTTGGCCAGCCTGGAAATCAGAAAATAATTTTTTGGTTTGATGTAGTAAGAATGGTGATTTACCATCGTCTGAAATAGGGTTTGAAATCAGAAAGTTGATATGTAGGTGGAAGATCTAAAGTTGCATGTGAATTTAATATTAGGAGCTGTTTTTGCAAATGAAACTGTAAAAGTAAGAGATGAAGAAATTTAGTAGGAACCTATAAGATGGTTAGGCATGTATTTGTATAATAGTACCTTACTAGTAACTGAGAGGTCAGAGGCTGGGAAAAGATCATTGTTTGGATTTAGAGGCACTGGACATGGATTCTAATCTAGCATGATTGACAGAAAATTTTAGTTCTAAAATTCTATTGAAAATCAAAATACTAATATCTTGTAAGTATGATACTCTGGCATGGACATCTCTTAAAAGGTTTCATCTAGGTTGACTAGTCTAGAAAAGAGATTCCTACCATTACATAGTTCCAGTTACCTTGAAATGCTTTCGTAAGTTTGGGGAAGTTTGTAAATGGATGGGCTGATGAAAAAAGGGTGTGTATATTGGTGGTCTGTCCAAACTAATTATACAGAGCATTAACACAAACCTATATTCTCCATCCTGAAGTCTCTAGGAACAAGAGGCATTTTCAAGATTAGTCAAACAAATTCATATGCAGTGAGCCTAGAACCATAATGATTAAGGAGTTCATGTGTAGACTCATGATTGCAATATGTTAAATTCTATCCTTTAAGCATAACTACGTGATTCAAGAAAGGCCAATGGTTGCACATGTATGATGTTTCTTAGCTCGACCCCTGTTGACTTTTGTTCTTTAAAGCTGCCTAAATTTAAAATTATCAATGAATTTACCTTGATTTTTGAATATTAGGTTGGCTCATACCATGCTTCATCGTTGCTGGTAGCATCGAGACCTCCTACTCAAGGAGTTCTTAGTCGAGGAATTGGGCTTGAAGGCTTATCTAGTGTGTTAGCTGGTCTTTGGGGTACAGGAAGTGGGTCCACCACTCTAACTGAAAATGTGCATACCATTGCTGTCACTAAAATGGGTAGCCGCAGGGCTGTTGAATTGGGTGCCTGCATTTTTATAATCTTATCTCTTGTAGGTATGTTCGAATCTACTTTTACTTTTTCTGACTTTTAATGAAAGATATGTAGCAATTAATATATGGAATCATTTGTTGGGTTGAATAATGGCCTCTCCAATGATTTCTTTGTGCTTTACAATGGTCCTAGAAAACTGTGCTATTATTTTATATATCATAATGCCTGATTTTAGTCGTATTATTCTGAATTTAAAAAAAGAAGAGGAAGTTTCTTGACATTGCTCTAATTGTTTGTGTGAGTTTCCATATGATAGATTTGTGTCATGCACAGGAAAAGTTGGAGGATTCATCGCCTCAATTCCTCACGTCATTGTTGCTGCTCTCCTGTGCTTCATGTGGGCAATGCTTACAGCATTGGGTTTGTCGAATCTACGTTACAGTGAGGCTGGAAGCTCTCGGAATATCATAATAGTTGGATTATCTTTGTTTTTCTGCCTCTCAATACCAGCTTACTTTCAGCAATATGGCATCTCTTCACACTCCAACTCTTCTGTCCCAAGTTACTTTCAACCATATATTGTGGCTTCTCATGGACCTTTCCGCAGCAAAAACGGAGGGGTATGTACCTCATTAACTTTCATTAAAGTAGAAGCATGCCATCATTATATTCTACTAAATATTTCTGCATATCTCTTTGCATTGACGAATTCAGACATGCCTGAACATTTTTAACCAAACAAGTGAGCACCCTTTTGGAAACATGTTGTGTTTGCAGGTGAACTATGTCATGAACACGTTACTATCACTACACATGGTGATAGCATTCCTTGTAGCTGTTATACTAGACAACACTGTGCCTGGAAATCAACAAGAACGTGGAGTGTATGTTTGGTCTGAACCAGAGACCGCAAGAAGGGAGCCTGCAGTCATCAAAGACTATGGGTTACCCTTCCGGGTGGGTCAGGCTTTCCGATGGGCGAAGTGGGTTGGGCTATGACAATTTTTGGGTGGAACATGATAAGCCAGCTTCATGGCATCAAGCTCATGGTCGCCATTCATTGTGCTTTTGAACATATATTTATTCCCCTAAAGCTTTTCATATGGTAAATAGCTCTCCCAAGTTTTCTGCATTTTTTTGTTTCTCCTCACACGGTAGGACTCTTTTTTGGGACTTGTAATATATATATGTAGGGCAATAGGCAACGTTATTTGTGCACATTGAGGATCCTGGTGGTGCTGTAATTTTAAATTAAAAAACCTTTGTATCTAGTTTTTGAGCATGATGAATCTCAGAATTTGCCCTTTTGTATAATATATGTATTTCCATTATTCGTTAGATAATCTTCCTTAAAAATAAATTATGGATTTTTTTGCTATAAAAAGAAGAAAAAAATCTAGATACAAATTAGTTTTCCTGTTGTAATTTCTATTAAAAAAATAAAAAAAGTATTGGTTTATTTTTAATATTGGTTGTACAATGAGAGAAAATCATTTATCATTTTTTTACGTTTTTCGTATATTATGTGATTTGAATTTAGGATCTTTTACTTTTAACAAAAGAAAATTACCACTGAATTACTTAAGTTGTTGATATAAAAAAGTATTGTTTAATTCAAATTATATAGTTTAATTCAAATTATATAACATAATTTATTAGATTAAGAGTTACTCTCCTTATATTGAAGCTCTTTTTTATTTAATAAATTTTATTTTGTAGTTCAAACTACAGCATACGAAATTCTTTAGGAAAAATGATAACCTTTCCAATTAACCCTGTCCCATTAAATTCGAAATACTGAATTAGCTTTTGAGCATCCTTCAGAAATATTTTTATTCGGAGGAAACAAGCTGTCCCTCCCCATGAATACATAAATTATCTCTTGTCTCATGAATTTTTTTTCTGTGGGCACAAGAGTCAGCAGAAGGGGCACTGAGTAGTAATATATTGGCCCTACCCTTTTGTTGAGCTCACACTGATCTTTGCTGCTCATTTATGCAAGGTTGGTCCATGGAAGATAATATACTTTTGAATTTTAAATTAAACTCCCATACAATTATATAGGTTAGTCTTTAACATAATATATTAATTATCATTATTACAATTTAAGTCGCCGGCAACAAAAAAAAATGTACAAATATAAATGCTCCATTTCAAGATTATGCCGGTTAGACAGTAAGAATTGGATTTATGGATAAATAAATATTATTTTATAAATTAAATTTAAATTTTAAAATTTGAAATTAATATTAAAAAAATTAATTTTTCTTTAAATTTCTTTAAATGCATCAAATTAATGTAAAAATGTGCTTTTAAAATCAC